CACACATTACGGTTAGTAAAAACTGATTTCCAGTCTTAGTTTTTGGCAATGGCCCGACACAATCGACAATAATTCTCTCAAACGGCTCACCCATTACTGGAATAGGGCAGAGGGGAGCGGGAGGAATCACTTGGTTCGGTTTTCCAACGACTTGACACACATGACAAGTACGACAATAGTTAACAACATCAGTTTTGAGTCCTGGCCAAAAGAAATGTCTGAGGACTCTATCGTAGGTTTTGGTGATCCCAGGTGACCTGACCATGGGTGATCATGGGCCAAGGACAGTACCTGAAAACGATGGGATGTAGGTACCACGACCTGGTAAGTCTCACTCCAATCCATCTCTTCTGAACCTCCCCTAGTCCAGCGACGCATCAACAGGCCATTATCGAGAAAGTAGGCCATTTGCTTTCTCTTAGCTTCTTCTTGGCTAAGAACAGCTGAATAACATTTCACCAGGCTGACATCTGCTCTTTGGGCTGCAATGTAATCGTCCCTGGTGGCTGGCAGTTCAACCCCCTCGCGACTGGTGAGGGGAGACCCAGTATCATCAGCAGGCTGAACCTCGCTCACAACAGCGTCAGGAACCGGTTCTGTGACCAGAAAAGTGTCAGACAAATCAATGCCATATCTCTTTGTGTGAGCTCTGGTAGCCACGCAAGCTGGAAATGTGCCAGGATGTATCTCTGCCATGTTGTCAGACCCCAAATGCAAATCGGGGCTGTCTACCAATTCAGGGACTGGTACAACTCTGCCACCAGCTAGGTCGTTTCCCAGGATGAAGTCTACCCCTTTAATGGGCAATGCTGGCAATACAGCCACTCTAAAGAACCCATTTACCAGGTGGGACAGAACATTAATTCTATGGAGAGGGGCTGGTATGTAGCTCATTCCAACACCTTGAATCACTACACTTGAGCGACATGAGGATATTGACGACCATGGTAAGATGCCCTCGCGAATAATAGACTGGGATGCTCCTGTGTCCCTTAGCATCCGTACTGGCCGCTGTTCTTCAGGGTTCCCAGTAAAGGAGACCAAGCCTTCAGACATAAAGGGTTTGAAACAGTCATCAGGTCCATCCTCTTCAGGTTGTGACATTCCAGCTTCTGGTGGTGACACCCCTTTAATCAGACCCATGCCTTTTGGCTTTTGTGGGCCAGGCGAGACCTGTTGTCTACGCTTCAGAGAAAAACAATCCGAAATGACATGTCCTTTCTTATGACAATAAAAGCACTCCCGATCACTACGAGGTGGAGACGGCGGTCCCTTAGACTTGTCGAATGGTGGACGGCCAATACTCTGCCTCATAGGACGTAGCGGTGCCTCTCTGTTCGAGCGGAAGGAAGACACAAACGCATGCTTATGCGTGAGGACAAACTCATCGGCTAGGACTGCCGCTTTTGACACAGACGTCACCTTCTGTTCATTTAAGAATACTACCACCTTCTCTGGTAAAGTGCCCTTGAAGTCTTCTACCAGTATTAATTGTCGAAGGGACTCAAAATTATCCTTTACTTCACTGGCAGCACACCATTTATCAAACAGTACCCCTTTCTCTCTAGCAAACTCCACAAAAGTTTGTTCACTAGTCTTTTTATGGTTCCTGAACTTTTGTCGGTATGCCTCAGGCACGAGCTCATAGGCACGCAAAATTGCCTCCTTGAGCATTTCATACTTCAAACTCTCTTCTAATGAAAGAGATGACACAACCTCCTGGGCTTTACCCACCAGTTTACATTGAAGCAATATCGGCCACATGTCCTTGGGCCAGACCAGGGCAGTAGCTATTCTCTCAAAAGCGTTGAAGTAGGAGTCAACCTCAGACTCCCGAAATGTTGGCACAAGTGCGATGTTCTTGCTGACATCAAAACCTGGATGGTTATGGCTGGTATGGGAAGATTTTGAGGTGTGTGTCGACTGTGGTCCCGCAGCAATTCTCATGGCCTCTATGTCCAGCTGACGCAGCTTGACTTCTTTTTCAGCCGCTATCTCCAGCCTGCGTACCTGTAATTGAAGATCATAGTCTGCTTTACGCACCATTTCCTTTTCCTGGGCTTCGAGCTGAAGGCGGGCTAGGCGGACCTTCAGCCTGGCATCCCCACTGGATACATGGAGCTCTGGGGAAAAAGGTTCAAAACGGGGCAAGGTTGCAGGAGGTACCTCAGGTTCAAATTTTTCACCCGAAGGAGTAGCCGGTGTACCCTTGCTTCCAACAGGGGAAGCTCCAGCACCCGCACCTGGAAGATCCTCCCCAACAGGAACGGCTAGGACCTTTAACTCTACTAATTGTTCTAATACTTTGTCTTTTATGTCCCGTTTAAGACTATACTTTTGAACGCTTATATCAAAATGGGATGCGATGGACAATAAATCATCTTTTCGGCACAAGTCAACTTTTTCAAAACTTGGATTTACAATAAAATCCTGCAAGTCAAAATTCATGGTTACCGTTGACCAAACTACAAATTAATTCTTCCCCTTTTACCGACTTTTTCTTTTCTTCAAGGGAAATATCCCGGACGAGCCCCCACTTGTGTTACGGCCCTTTTGTAGACTCCAGGACAGTAAAACAACAATCAAAGACAGGCGACAGAGTCAGGGTAAAAGGTGTCTTTCTAGTTTTTATTCTTACACAAAAAGATGGCTCCCAACAGGAGGGAGGGAGATGGTGGAAGATGGGACCTACAGGTTGTGCCAAACAAATGAAATGAATATAACAAAACGAGGCCTAGCTCACCACTGGCTCTTCATCCAAAGCAAGTCAAACAAAATACCTTACCTCCTTCTCTAAAAAAGGACTAAAGGAAAACGTTACACAGGAGGCAACAACCACTACACCTAGTGTGTCTATACAAAGGTATACCTACGTGCAAGAATGTACAGGGTACCCCAACTTACTAAGGTCCTCAACCTCCACCTTACCAAACTCCAGTTTTGCTAGCAGCCTGCTAAAGCTCATGTACAGGAAGACTGGCCACCAGCCCGCAGCACAGAACACACCCACTTCACTTCTCAGGAGTCTTCCTTTATGGACTGCCACCGGAACTGCTGATTGCTTTCCACCTGTGTTTGGAGTTGGCCAATCAGCATAATCACTGGGGGAGAGAAACCAATGAGCAGGAGGGAGAACGACAAGAACACATGCAGACCGTCCCCGTCTGGCATGTAACATCAAGGTATTTACTAGAACTGTTTCTGGGGCTTCCCCAGGCCAGAGGTAACCAAAGCAGTCAAATTTGTGCAAGAAAAATCAGGCAGGGAGTTTTTTTTTTATGCTCTGTGGTTCCTGCACAATGTAATATGCAGTAAAAGAATGGGGGCAGAGCAGCTTCTTCCATTGTTGTTAGAAGCAACAGAAAGCATCAGCAAGAGCAAGAAATAGCAGTGTTGCATTTCAGGAACGTGAACACAAAAGAGAAGTGCAGAAGATGTACAATTATTGAGAGGGAAGAATAAAAACAGCACTGGATTTCTTTCCCGTTATTATCCTCTGCTGGATTTCTTTTTCTTTTCTCTTGGAGTTGGTCTTTGTTTCTGTCTTTATATTTTCCTGAGCAAAATCTGCCTGGCCGTTAAATCCTTTAATGTTTGCTTAAGTGACACTCTGAGGCTCTCGACTCGCTGGTACTTTGTCTCATTTACTTCCTCCCCTCAATTCAAGTTATCGTTTAGGCTCCAGTTTGTTACGGACACCGTGCAGCAATCCCCCTCCGTCTGCCAACATAAATCTGTGTTACATTTGCATTTTGGTCTTAAAGCATCTGAAACCTCAGAGATAAAGTTAACATTCATTACAGCGGGAGGAAGTGTTAAAGATTAATCAAACCTGGAAATAGGTCACATTAAAAAAACTAATTTGTTTTTTTCCATCAGCCTTTTCAGTCTAATTTCTCATGTCCTGGTGTCCCGGGATGCGAAGTACATCTCAGGTACATTGAAGTTAAGATGTTTGACTATGTCACGATGATGGATCAGGGAAATTCGTTCTGCTTTTGCTTCAAATTATTTACTAGCTTGAGAATGTTTCATTTACCTTCGCTATTATCAAAATGCCTCGGACAATAAACGTCAAATCAAGTAATGTAGGCTGCAAAGTGAGCATTAACTCTTCTATGCCTGAAGAGATAAACAGTTGCTGTTCTTGGGTTTTACTTTCATTCTTGAACTTGGATGGTTTGATATATTGATTGTAGCTGCTCCGGACGTATTACCAACTAACCATACGGTCATTCCTTTGATCAAAGAGATTAAGCAACACAGATGGAAGCCACAATTTTGATAATGACATTATATTCAGGCAAAGGTTTAGCGAAGACAAATGCACGCCAAAAAGTTGAAACAAAATGCTACTTTCTGCGCACCAGCTAGAAAAAGGGATACCGCTAGTTCTAGGTACGTTAAGGCATTATTATCGCTTTACTGGATTAACTAATCAATGCTTATTTTAATGAGCATCAACGCAGTTATTTTAAATTCATATTATTTTACACTTTGCGTGCCATTCGCATTTAGTAAACTGAAAAGGAAAGCCTGCAAAACAACCTACTTAACACTGTGGAGGAGACACGGGCATCACTTTGCCTGGGCTTCCAGTTGAGTTGAGTTCAGTCACTGTTATCCAAGTCCATGGAAGTCCATGATGGTGTATAAACGTATGCTGTATGCATCTGTGTACATATACATTTTTAAGCAAAACGAAGAAATGAAACAATACTTAAAGATAATCAATGTGACACTGCGAAAAACCACTTGTTTTTTGTTTGTCTCGTTGAGATAATATGCCGCTATTCCCAGAACATCCCCCTCTGTTCTCCGTCAACATTGTACTACCAGTACGAACCCCACTGCTGCAAGTCTTTTCTAAAACAAATTTTGCCAAATGTCTTAAGACAAATAAAAGCTGCACAAACATTTGTATTTGTTGCGTTTCATCTGTGTCGATGTTTATTTTGTATTTTAATGTTTCACCTCCCTCTCTCTCTGTGTCTCTTCAGCTTGTCCTCAGGGCACCTTCAAGTCATTCCAGGGGGTCGGCCTCTGTCAGCAATGTCCGCTCAACAGTCGCTCTACCATCGAGGCTGCCACAGTCTGCGGGTGTCGTAGCGGCTTTTACCGCGGAGACATGGACAAACCGGAGGACGTGTGCACCAGTGAGTCTGTCTCTCTGTTGAACAAACAAAAAGCAAGAAAATCTTTTCAATAGCTAAGTGTGGTTATGCCTCAGGCAGGTTTTGGTAGGTTGATTTTTTTTTTTTGGACTGAAGTTACCAATAGCTGACAAATGACAGCATATTGGTGTGTGACATCGCCAGCACTCTACTTTGATTTATTATTCCAACGCTAATTTAATGCACCTCATTCAGAGCCGGTGTGCCGCGATGTTCCCGTCCTTGTTTGGGGATTTGGGAAGCAGTAAGTAGTAACGCTGCCGCAGTCCTCAGGCTTCCCATTGAAGGGAATGTGTGTTTAGTGCGTCAAAGAGGCTACGCAAGACGAGACACCGAGGTTTGAAAAATGCTGCCTCCCTGTTCCACGGAGAGATGGTGCAAGTAGGTTGAGACATGAATCATTTTGTCTCTGTAGCTAGTCTCAAATTGGGAAACTGTGTGAATGTCTGGGTGTGAAGGCGCCCTGACGACCTGAATAAGACTTCATATTTTTCAAGGCTATAAAAAAAGCTCTTGTTCATTCATGGGCGGATCATTATGTATCCGTTTTTCATTTCAACATTCTGCCAGGAGATTATGTACAAGGTATCCTGAAAACATGTTGTAATTATGACTGTGAATACCGAGTGTTGGAGTTGATCAATACTGTCTGCACTGATCATGTATTGCAGTATACTAAAGAAGGAACATTAAACGGATTTTGTTGTTTAACAATTTGTTTATTTTATTGAGTCACACTTTTCTTTCGAAGATAAGCACTAGAGAAGATAAGGGAAACTTTCATCATAAGGGAGCTTGAATTTTTTTTTGGTAAGAAATGAAAAAATGTAATCTGATCACGGAGATGGCCGAGTGTGCAAATAGCTGCCTGACCCAAAATCGTTCTCCGAATTTAGATTATTGACTGACTATGTTACAACATGGGTACAGAGGAGACAAGTGTGTGCATCTCTGAGTGGGTTGCGTATGTGTCCGTCAAAATATCCATATATATTCTGTATTCACTCACATCAAAAAGAAAGATTTAGGGAACGTCTGTGTCGATTGTGAATATGATTACAATGAATTACAATGTTTAATTTCTTGTTCCAACGTATCTTTTAGATGCGTATGTGTGTATCTTGAGCCTACCTGCTGAATTCTTGCAGCACCGACTGTCAGTAAAGTAAAAGATTGCTTGACTTGGTTGATTTGAAAAAGTAGCTCGCGAGCTGAAAAAGTGTGGGCACCCCTTGGCCTCGATGTGTAGCACTGTCGGCAGTAAAATGCAGAATATAATCCTGTCGAATTGGATTTAAAGGTCCCACAAATACACAACATTGATTAGGCCATGGCGACGTAGAAAGAAATCACCATGCCGTATATATAGTTTTGATATATCGGTCATGTAGGATTAACCATCGCTGCTTTAACAAAGTATTTACGAAATTATTTTTTTGTTGGGTTTGCATCAGCTCGATTAGCCGTAATGTATCTTGTGATAGTTAAACATAGTATCCATATGTAAGCCATTAGTGGGGACTTCTTAATGGAAAAAATAATTATTTTCTTTCGAGTTTATTGTAATGAGGTTTGGTTGCATCCAGGTGTGGAGCAGTGATAAAGCTGACAGATTCTGACTGTTGTCAATCATCTTTCTCCAGGTGTCCCATCAGCTCCTCGCAACGTGGTCTCAGTTGTCAACCAGACGTCGGTGCAGCTGGAGTGGCACCCACCACGGGATATCGGGTACCGTGACGACCTGTCGTACAACGTCGTGTGCCGCCGGTGCCACAGCAGCGGGCGCCGGGCGTGTCAGCCGTGTGACGACGGCGTGGCATTCGTGTCCGGCAAGCAAGGGCTAAAGGACACCAAGGTGGAGATCAGCAAGTTGCGAGCCCACACATCGTACACCTTCGAAATACAGGTTTGTCCGTCCCGTGAGACCAGCTCCTTCCTCAGGCTGCATTTATTCCACTTGCATGCTGTTCAGGCTACATACAGTAGCTGCTTGCTGGCATGGAGGCTTTTTATGTACAGCTTTGAGTTATAATACGTTCTTTCAACCATCAAGGCCACTTTAATGCAATATAAAGCCAGTGCACCGGTGGACCTTTAATCTTCAGTTATTGGCGGCCGTTTCAAGGCTGGATGTCCAAATCAAGGTCATATGTTACCCCGCATGTTTCTTTACTTCCCCCATTCAGTACTGGATTGTGAAATCTCTCATATCCTTCAAATCTAAATGTGGCCAAACATTTTTAAAGTTTAATGGACCGATTTTATATAAACAATTATTTTTGAAGGTAATAGATCAGCTGATCTATGATCACCTATATACCGTTGTGGAACAAGTGGATTAATAATGATGATGTATGGATGAAGGACTTAAAACATCCAGATAGTGAGTATAGCTTGTCATTGAATGTTCAAAATAAAAGCAGACGCTATTAAAGACACATTTGAATACCAAAGGAGATATCCATCCAAAATGTAATTACCCATCAGTTGAAAGCACTGACAACAGACAAAAGCAATGGTGGCATCAACCACTGTACCAACCACTGAAGACTTTGACCTGCCAAATTAGTTACAGTTGGTTATCTGTTCTGTGTTTCTATCCTGGAAATAGTGAGTAGTAGAAGACGTTTTCATATTGGCAAATGTGATATTTGAGAATCCTCAGAATCTCAGGAAAAGGAAAAGCAGAAAATGAAATGTGAATGGAGAAAGAAACAAAATGGAATCGGAGCTCGGATTAAGCCTAACTAATTATCATGTCATTGTTCAAGGATTTGCCCCAGACCGAAAACACTGTTTTGGCCATCAAAATGATTAAGTAAGCTCATGACAAACCATATGAGGCGGCTAATTAGGTGCTCTTTAAAATGCACTTGGAACCTGTTAATTGTGTCTTTGTGTTGGCAGGATGAGACACACGATGACACGTTACAGTTTCGAGACTTAAACACTGAAATTGAAACCACCTAATTGTTGCTGTTAAATGTCGTTTTTGTTAAATCCCTCCTCTTAACATTGATTGTGTAATCCTAGCTCAGCAGTATCAGTGTGTTCTGTTCTTTAACAATACAGGAACCATAACCAAGTATTTGTGTTTAAACTAAATATTGAAATATCAATAATAAAACATAAGAAAGTATTTCCTTATCATACTTATAATTGTAGATTGAACTAGCTTTAAAGTGAAAATGAAAAATGGTGTTTATTTATTTCCGTGTCATGTATCATCAACTGATGAAGTGTCTCATTTTGTATGGGACACGTAGCTTAACCCTTTAACCTTTTAACCGTTCAGCAGAATTCCATAATATGTCCTTATTTAATATCCATTAACAGTACCACGCTATTGTTTGGACAGCCCATTATTTTCAAACGAAACAAAAAAGATCCAACTGGACCAAATTCCTGTTTTACCAAAAAGAAGGCAACAAAAGCAAAATTGATGCAGTTAAACAATCTCATTCTTCCTCAAAATGACCATGTACTGTTTGTTAGCGATGAGTCTCCTGAACAATGTCCTTTCAATTTCAGGATGACAGGCTGTCTCACGAATGGACTTTGGGTCGAATTGGACATTTTTCAGGCTGTTGGGGTCCTGGAATGAAAGGCCGTCGCAACAATCGAGTTCCCCCAGCTCATAAAATCAGTTAGAAATGAGACTCATTCTCTCGTCCATATATGTCTGAAATCAAGTGCCTTTTGTTTATAGAATTACTGAGAATACTGAGTGTCATGTTGGCCACTTTCAACATTGTAAGGGACAAATAGGCTGTGTGAGACCAGGATGCTTCACGGGCCGAACGGAAAATATGGCAGTTAATGTTTGAAGGGTCGAAAACCTAAACCATTACACTTTTTGCTCCACAGGCAGTAAACGGAGTGTCCAACAAGAGCCCTTATCCCGCCCAGCAACTGTCAATCAACATTACAACCAATCAGGCCGGTGAGTGGAGAGTGCAAACGCTGTGTGTGTGTGTGTGTGTGTGTGTGTGTGTGTGTGTGTGTGTGTGTGTGTGTGTGTGGGCAAACCCTGGGGCACAGTGGATTATGCAAGGGAGGGATGTCAAGGGGGATAAATGAAATTGAGCTACAGCTTTTTAATTCATGAAACATGATATGAGGGTGTCATCGTTCTCCCTCTGTCTCTCTATCTCTCACCCCTTATCTGTCATGCCTACACATCCACAGCGTTCCTCCTGTTTTCCTGTTTTCCCTCTGCTTCTCTCTTTTTCTCTCTCTTCTTATATTCTCGCCTGTATCCCCTCTGCTTGAGGGGAGGCTCATTCCTAATCACAACATGATCTATTGTCACCGGGCCGCACATTTCTTTTACCACTGTTGCTGCAAAACTCTTATCTCTCCTATCCTTTAGTACTCAACAAAACACCTGTTGTACATGTTTCTTCTGGTACCTGTGCAGAAACAACAAGAAAACAGATGGATATACTGTACGTTTTCTTGGTGTTGCTCCGAAAGTGCCTCTTCTATTGTTCTGAAAACATTACTTACCCTAGTTTTTTATGTATTATTGAATTGTGTGCAAAATGCGATTAATCGCTGAAAAATCATCTGATTAATCAAGTTTTTTTTAAATCTTTGACCAACATATGTGTTTTTTTTCTGTGAAGCAAAACCCATGAATTACATTATGACAAAGAGCTACTGGTTCCTAAAATGATGGGTGAAAATGTGTAATAACTCTTGATTTTCAATCAGTGGCAAGTGCTGCCAATATTGGCAACATTACAATATTTATGGAGTTCAAGCATGCTTGCAAATCTTGTAACTAGATAATTGATTGTGTGTACTTCCGCGTGTTTTTCTAACAGCTCCCTCAGTAGTTCCAATAATGCACCAAGTGAGCTCAACGAGCCGCAGTTTCTCGTTGTCATGGCCACCGCCCGAGCAGCCCAACGGAATTATCCTCGACTACGAGATACGATACTTTGACAAGGTAGGGTGGGATGATAAATGTCTCAGTGTTTTTCTGTCTGCATGCCTTTTTGGTGGTCACAGACAATAATCCATTAGAGTCAATACAAAAGATGTATCAATGTCAAATACATCGAAGACATCTGTTATCAGAACTCTCTGAGAAACAGTCTTAACGCGTCAATACTTTTGAATAACTTTGGAAATCAAACCGCCTGCATACTCTCTCGCTTGGTCTAATAGATCACAGAAGTTCATTTTGCATGTTCAGAAAAACGGGTAAATGTATCAATTAATTCGCTTGTAAATCTATATATATTATTGATGACATAGCACAAGTAATAACTGATACAATATCCATTTTACTATTTTTATTACTTGATTACAGGCTGAATGTGGGGAATGCTGCTCCACATAGACATGGCATGATTTGTAATGAAGCTGAAGGCGGGTACATATTTCCTAGATTTTTAATTCCAGTTATTTCATCTATTTTTAACTTCACTTCTGCTCAATGTTTATTGAAAAGGGCGGTTTATGTATCATCTTTTATACAATATAATTTCCTCATGGGTCTGGGTTGATCAATGCATTTCACAGGGCCTGCAGTCATGCTAATACTGGGTTTTGCAGTGATGGAGAGCCTCTCTTTATTCCAACACACATTAATAACTGATCCTAGTCATGCAATATATTCATTAATAACTAGCTACAGTGTGATTCTGTATACTGCAAGACCAACTAAATACTGAAAGAAAAATCTATGTATTTATTGACCGCGTGTGTCTCTCTCATGAACTGATGCAGTTTGAATGGCCATAGTCTCATGAGCTGTAACATGTCATGACATTGACATTGAACTATCTGTGGGCTCTGGTTGATCTAATTAAAACCATTATATTGGTATATAACTAACTCATCTTGTGTGACTTGTAAAGGCCACACTGTAATAACCAGACAAAGAAAAGAAAAAAGGCAACTGTTGTGGGCAACAATATAGACAAACATAAAATCCAACAGCATTTACTTCTATTTCCATCTTCCTCGGCATTATTAGGTGTGTTGATGGCTGCAGGAGATCAAATATGTTTTTTTGCCTTTATAAATACATATAAGTCTTGTTCGTGATGATGTTTTCACATATTTCAAAGTCCATGGTGAGGAATGTTGACATGTTTGTCTTCTGCTAATATTGCTGCATTGTTTGTTGTGTGAGATTTCCTTTAGTCATCTCTTTAGCTCACTGTTAATGCAGCCTTCAACTCAATATGATGACGTTGGTATCTCACTTTGCGTCGGATGAATCACAACCAACGATTGGTTAATAGTTACCTTATACAGTACATGGAACCACAGAGAGCAGCACATCTCTCCAGGAAACCAACCATTTATCCGCCCTTAAATGTTGAGGATTGGTTCGTCTCAAGCTGCTGAGGTGGAAGGGAAGCAATAGACGGACAAAATGATTAGTTGTATTCTCTTTTGCATTAGCAATGCAGAGCAGGTGTTCGGAACACATGTATTTATTAAATCTTCCTTTAATCGGGCTGTCTCATTCCAAATTAACATTTTTTTCCCAAGACCTGATTCTAAGAAGCAATTATTGTTTTGCAATTGGAGGAACACAGACTTCCTTTCATTCTACACTCAAGGCTTCATTGGATTTTTAAGTGTTGAATTTTAATCGTAAACGTTTTCCAAGTCGAAAACTTACTGATGGTCAAAGAGTGTCATTATGTCTGTATACCAAAGTTTGAAGAAGTTATCTGTTTCCCACCATAGAGATAACTCACCCTGGACAATTTCGCTCTGCTTCTCCGGGCTGGTTGACGTGATCTAGACCCTCCCCTCCCCTCCCCTCTCCCAGATATGTATTTCAGCTCCTCCTGGATGATCCAGAGGCTTTCCAAAGTTAGATGAGATATGAAATGCCTTTAGCGTGTTTTGAGTCTTCCCGGGGGGTGTTCCAGTCTGGAGGCTTCCGAGAGGCCTCCTCAACGGCTGCCAAACCACCTCAACAGCTCCTTTTTAAATGTGAAGGAACAGCGGCGGCGCTCTGATCTCCTTCCAGGTGTCTGAGCGCCTCGCCCCATCTCGAAGGGCTTGTTTTCAGTGTTTTGCAAAGGAGAATAAACAGTGAATAGGATGATTGAGCTACTCCCAATTTTTGCTGTGCATAACAACACCTTAAGGGGCCCTGGAAGATCTATTTTTCTTTTTTTTATCCCCAAGCTGGAAGGCAAGAAGACCAAAGAACAAATGTAATTGGATACAATTGAAAACGTAGTCTCTACCCCTCTGCTTTGTTAGACTGTCGGACCAAAGCCTTCAGCAGTGCTTTAGCATAAGATAGCGTGCATAAATAATGCCAATCCTGGGGCCGCTGTGTGAGGGGTGAAAGGGTCACGGCCCGATTGCTTTCCCATTATTAGTGCTGCTTCAGAACAGAGACAAAAAAACTCCCGACAAAGATATTGTCCTTTTCGTGATTTAGTCAATAGGAAACGGTGTATTTCGGAGACTGAAAGTTGAAGTGAAAGCTCCTCTCTTTTAACCAAAACATAGAATATCCTCGTCTTTTCTGGAGCTGAGCCAACAGCTGCAAAAACAGATGGACTTTCACCACAGACAGTTTGAAAACGAAGAGCAAAGTACCTACATGGGATTCTGTGAGGTGCACCAAAAGTGCCTCCATGCATGTCATTTCTTCACTGCTATTCCCTGTGCTCATTTATTTCCCTTTTAACACATTATGTCAGCGAGCTGATGCTTCCATAACTCACTAAATTTCTTAGATTCTATCATAACCGCAAGCTGTAAAGGCTCAAGACTGTTGTGAACTCTTTCTTGTCTATTCCCTCTCATGCTAATGCTAAGCCACAGTCTTTCACTCCAGAGGGCTTTCTCACAGATTCCAATTTAACAGCAAACATATTGTAGTTTATAGCCACATATCACTGTGCTGCACAAGGGAAAGCAAGAGTGTCCGTTGTTTTTTTGTCTGTTGCATTATTGGATGCTTTTCTTGGTTCGGCTAAGTATTAATATTCATATCCTATAGATAAATAACAGTTATTTCACTACTTCTAAAAAGGTTTTCCCTTATGTATAATGATGCTTTTTCAGCCAAATCAGGTAATGCTTTATTACAACTGTTATAAACATTAAGGATGACGAGTGTAGTATTTGTATCCTTCAAATGTTTGACCCTTATTGTATACTATTGTATACTGTGGTTGCAAAACCTTTCAAAGAAGCCAAGGTGGAAGGTTGGCACTTGTGCAAAGGGTCTTTGTTGGCAGAAACCACAGTCTCTCTTACCAACCGCCAACACTGGTTTCTACAAAAACACAAGGGCCCCAATAATGATGCACAGTAAAAGCCACTTTGGCAAAAAGCGAAAATTTTCCGGACCACATAGTGGAACATCAGGCAAACAAAAAAGCACAATTTGAGGTCCTTGCAACATTGTAAATAACCTTTTGACTGCACCTGATGACGTTATGACATCGTGTCAACATGAAAACACAGCCAGATAACTGCTCTCCATCACCACTCACATTGCAGAGCTTTTTTAAAGTGCAGCTGTTGGATAGAAACATCAGTCAAACATTAATATTATGCTACGGCTGTTAAGGAATCTGAAGGACATTTTATAGGAACGCATCGAGAAAAGCTCGATGCTAGCTAGTTGATGGGGGGGACAGGGGGGCTGCACCTGCCGTTGGTCTGACTGCTTTGCACAGTTTGTCCCAGGCATCGACTGCGGGTAGCAGAGAGAGGAAAGGAGAAAGTTGACACTGTGCCTCGCGGTGAGCAATTAGAGGGAGTTAGAGTTGGAGTTCAGGACAGAGTGAGGAGAACTGCACTTTGGCGTGTTTTTATCTTTGACAGTCAGACTGTGACTGTCGCAGATAAAAACACGCCAAAATCCGGGCAGCGACTCCACTGTAAGCCGGTCTTAACCACGCTGCCTTTGCTTCAACATCATCGAACATTGGAGGCAATAAAGACACATAATCAAAAGCGGGCAGTTCAATTATTTAAGAGTTTCTTCTTTTCATTCTTCTTCCTTGATACAGATCTTAAGAAGGGAGGAATACGAGCTAACCACCAAAAGGGACTAATTTTAGCTGACGTCTCCAAGTGTAGAATTCCTTGGGGAGTAGTTTGAAAAGCAGAGAGCGTTTTACCAGACAGCTGTACTGTATCTCCTTTTTTCTGATAATGTTCTCCACCTGCCTTCCCTCCAACTCCTCCATCCGTCTCTCACCTCCTCCCTCCCCTCATAGCCACTCAATAGATAATGAGGTTTTAATGTTGTAAATTTGATATGGCACAATTTCCCCCCACTACTTATCTCTGGCTCCCAGACCTTCCCAGATGGGTTGCCCTCTAACCTTTTTAATGTGGCAAGCGTAGAATTCCCCCTCCCTACTCTCACTCTCACACACACGCACACACACACACATGATCACAAACCTCCAAATCCGAATCGCACTCCAACACAATACCCCAATTTCTGTGGCCACATCCAAATATAACTTCATTATTATCTCCCAGGTCTTAAATGGCAAAAAATTATCCCTGTGCACTTTGTCCTAATTATGACAGTGGGGACTTCATGGTGCAGTAAAATGATGTCCAATACAGTGTATTAAGATTTTATAGATAACACTAATACATGAAATCTTGATCTTAATATTTACAAAAATCTAGCCCCCAGCAACAACAACAAAGGGGGAAAAAAGAACAACAATTTGTTTACGAAGATTAAGGGAGGTTGTTATTAAGAATTATAATGATAACAATAATGAAAACTCAATCCTCTTTAACCCCTTTGTATTCATCTATTGCTCTCATTCCACAATGCTCATTTTCTTTAGGCTCCCTCCCTCCGGAGCTCTCCGCCTCTTCATCTCTCCTCTTTGCTCTCCCGTCGACCCCTCCACCTCCTTCATCCTCGCGGCACGATTCCCTCCCCCGTCCCTTTCATGCCATCACCATACCATATCTGTCGTTCCTTCTGGACAGTTTCGATGCAGTATGAACCTTTTTTTCTATCTGAAACAAATTGTTGAGAGGCAGTATAAAGCCATATGAGATATGCCTGATAAGTCTGATGCTAAATCTACCTGAGGAATTATCACTTTGTCAAATCTGATCTGATCAAGATGGAGGAAAGTTCTCAACTTATAGAAGTTTACTCATGCACATGTCCGTGCACTGTGAAATGATGGGATGTGGTTGCAGATCTGTGGCAATCTTCTGGCTACACCCATCAGTGGTGCTGGATGTGAGCAGATGTGCAACAGAGTTCAAACTTTAGGCAGCCAGGACTAATAAATGAGACATATTTCAATGGTGTTACATTACATTGCATTTAGAGACTTGTCCCTTCTTCAAACTTCTGCCGCACCCCAGTATGCTGGGTTCAAATATATTCTTTTGTCTTACTCAAAATACTAAAAAAAATGTGATTTGGAAAACATGACCGGGTCAATCTGGATAATCTGCACGGTTCTCAGTGGAAGATAATGAGGTCTGTGGATTAGTTTGAGTAACTGGGACAATATTTCGATTTGCCACAAACAAAATTCCTTTGTCCTCCATTGTATCGGTGTGAAGGTAGATACAGTATCTCAATGTGGAAAAATGAAAGCCATTGTGCTTATAGACAGACAATAACCAGAAGTGTGAAAAGGACCCTTCAGGTGTGAATTGATAGACAGAGACAAATGGATGGGTGGATAATTGAATTGAGGGTATTCAGACTGATTTTCTTTTCATAAAATGTGATAGATTCTGGCATTGTTGATGAATGAATAAACTATGTTTTTATAATGAATCTTGTTTTACCTGAAGGCCAAAACAGAGTTCGTGTGAAGTGTTGTGGTCTGTCTGGTCTTGCGGTGGAACATTTTCATCCCTCTCTCAACCTCCCCTGCAGTCCCTGTCGTCAGTGCAGAACAGCTCAGTGGTCCAGAGCAAAACGCCCAGTGTGGTTCTGGAGGGTCTGAAGTTGGGGACGGGCTACGTGGTCCAGGTGAGGGCGCGCACCGTGGCCGGCTACGGAGGCTACAGCAAGGAAATGCTCTTCCAAACGCTCACCGACGGTAAGGTGGGCCGGTGGGAAGCCGGAGTGTGTGTCTGTGTGTGTTTGTGTTGTAAGGGGTTTTGTGGTGGGGATTAAATAGAGTGCAGGACGGAGAGGAGGAATCTAAAATGTGAAAACCTGGTGGTGAAGTATTCAAATTCTGCCCTACTTTGCGCGTGCATGAATTTCTGTGTTGCCGTCTTGTAAAATGAGCCACGTTGTTGCTAATTAACGTGTGTTGGAGAAAAGAGAGAGAAACTGCATATTTTACATTCCAGAAATGCAGAGTTGTGTTTACGTAAGAGAGGCTAAAAAAATAATGCGTGTGGTTGGTTGTGTGTCTGTGTGTGTTTCCACAGATGAGTATAAGTCCGAGCTGGGGCAGCAGCTCTCCCTGATTGCAGGCTCCTTAGTGGCCGGAGTGTGTATCGTCTCATTGGTGGCCATTGCCATCATCTGTACCAGGTAACGCAGTGACACACCTGCACACAAAGAGCCACGCGTTAAAAAATAATAAATGTGGTGAAATTGTGGCTATTTGCATTGTGGACACGACCACAAACACAGCAGACGTTTCCATTGTCACGAAGGGAAAAGCACAGGCGTTACGAATAACATCATCAGTGGCTCCTTTCAATTCACCGTTCATGGTCACAGTGAGACAGTGAGCACAGTAGTAGGAACCCTAAAGAATGAAGCACCCATCATTCGTTTACATAAATTGGTAAAGTTGGTATTTTTCGAAAAGCTTTTTCAACCTCACTTCATAAGGCTGAAAGCACAGTAACGGGATGACAGATGTAGAAGCCCCAGCGCACTAAAATATGACTATCTGTTACCATGTGAAGTTACATACTATAGTAAACAGTTTATAACTGAGCCTTCCCCATAAAAGCGGAGTAAGTGCGCCTTGAGTCACGAGTTATATTGTCCACAACATGGATCATTGCCATTGTTATTTATCTCTTGTAGATTATGTGACCTCATGACCTACCAGATAAAGCGCAACCTGTTGGCATCCCTAACATTTCTACCTGCTTGCCTCTGCAGGAGGAGGCAGTGTAAGGAGAGTGTGTACGCTGACAAGCTGCAGCAGTACAACGCAGGAGGAGGTACGTCCGCCGCCGAGGCCTTTGAATGCGCCTCACCTCTAAAAGAGCGCTTGTATTTACACTTTGTGCCTCCCTCCGCAGAGGTGACTCTGAGGCCTGACATGTTCAGTGGCACCACCCCCACAGTGACCTTTCCCACCCTGTCTGAGGGTCATAGTTCGCCAGGGGTCAAGATCTACATCGACCCCTTCACCTACGAGGATCCCAACGAGGCTGTTCGGGAATTTGCCAAGGAAATCGACCCCTCCTGCGTCAAAATAGAGGAAGTCATTGGATCAGGTAGAGATTTCCACATGCTTTGTGTCTTTGACCCTCGGCTTGACCCTTCATTTCTCGCTGTTGTTTCCATCAACTATTCCCAAAATTCAAATCCATGAATACTCCTGTCCGGGTCTATCATTACTTTGAGTTTATTTTTAAGAAGCGCTTTTGTTCAAGAATAAGATAAACATAAGATTTACGATTCAAGTTCATATATACGGCTTTAAAGAGACATTTAGGCAAAGAGAACCCTGGTTTCCTCTAATGAAACCAACCGGCACATGAAATAGCAGATCGTCTACACTAAATTAATCAATTTATTCCACCGTGCCAGCAATTTGTGTCAATGAAAAGATGTGAAAACATGCAATGTCAGTTTATTATTTTGCTTTATTTCTTTCCTTTGAAGTCAGGAGAAATGTTTTATTCATGCTGAAAACTTTCACAAGAATAAATTAGAACTGCTTTCGCGCATTCTCTTTGGCTATCTGATCTAAACTACAAAAATGCTGTGTGAAGTTGGGCAAATGGAGATATTTGGAAGCGAAAAGTCCCAGAGCATCCTTTTTGGAGGGAGTTTTAGCTTTCAGATGAGCTAATAAGGGACCAAATATATAGATATATTTTAAAGTTGCTAAGATGAAAAGTGAAATACCTTCTTTTACCACTGATCCCTCAGTACCGTGTACTTAATGTAGGAAAAATATCTGTCAGGAATATAAAATACTAGATAAACCTTGCTTCTTGGATGATTTTAAAACGTGAAGCTCCAGTGGGAGCTGTATTAGGACCTCATCTTGTAGAGTTGTTTTATTAAAATCTAATTCACTATTTTAGTTTTTTACGTCACATGTTCATGAGTAAATTAGAATTCATTCAATCAAAGTTATTTGAGAGGAACTTCTATCTGGTTATGAGCGAGTCCCAATTAAATACTAATTGCCCAGGACGGCATTGATGGACCGAGCTGGAGGGCAGGGAGGCACCGGAGAACCAGGACCGACTGGAGCGGAGCGGCAGACTCAGGCCGCAGTAAAAATAGAGGTTTTCTGAAGGGACTCTGGTGCTCGGAAACTGTCCCACCTTCACCCACAGGGTAAAAATTTCAAAATTGTACACAAAATGACATTGTCTGCAGTGCATTCAAATTTTGTATTTCGACCGCTTCGCTTCTTTTAGCTGATAAACAATTTATTATCTCTCACTGCACAATCGATGGGGCAATGTTTTTGTTGTTATCCTCCTGTTAAATAAAAACTTTTTTTTGGATCCAAACCAATCAAACACAAATAGCGCTGGAGCTCCGGGTGCTAAAGGTCATGAACCACATTCAGAGTATGTGCTTTCGGCTTTGGTCTGTTAAGCCGCTCCTGAGAAGCTTTCCGTAATCTCTCCGTTTCTCGCTTTATTTCTCTCAGGGGAAGGTTTCTCACCTCAGCCAGAGGTGACAGAGGAGGGATGAAAACAACGGGTAGGGGGAAGAAAATATCAACAGGGTGATATGAGATGTGGACTTGGGGCCCATAAGCTGTTGAATTACTGCGCTTGGGCTGAGGTAGAAAGTACAAATATACCCACTTCCCTACAAATCCCCCCCCCAACTTTTACTTTCTGTATTTATTTTATGCTTCCTCTTTTTTTCATAACTCCCTCTGCCCCGTGGAGTTTTAGAGTTAATTTGCATGTAGAGAAATGCTAAAACAAAGAACCAAAGGGGTAGAAAAAGCAGAACAACAGATTGGATAGGAAAGATTAAAGGGGAAGGCACCCTGAGGAGAAGATGAAAATATCTCACCTCACTTTCTCTCTCGCTCTGTAAAAACACTCCTCTCTTGTTCTCGTTCCTTATAACCGTCACTCGTAAAGGTCCCTCATAAAAAAGTCAAGCCTTAAACCCCTTCAATTTACAAAAGAAACAAACCATAACATCTTCCCTGCAGGCCGGTTAATTTACTTACTACTGTATTTAGAAGTGCAGGAGATAGAAGACCAGGTTTTGGAATAACACCGTAACTAATTACTGTGACGCTCCATCTTCCCCATGACCACCTCGTGTTTTAGAAAAAGAGGAATAGAGATGTCACCTGATCGCGCCTCTCTTCTTCTCAGTCCACACTTCTGTCCCTTTTCTCCCCCACTATCAATTCTGTCTCATTTCCATGCTTTCATTTCTTCAAACTGCATCCCTCCTCTCCCCCCTTCCCCCCCGACCCCCTCTTTCAATTCTCCTCCTTCTTTTCCCTCCATCCATCTCCACTTCTGCTGGTTTACAACAGTGACAATGGAGCGATTTTAATGAGCAGTGAGATGTGGAGCAGAGATCACAGTGAGACGGGACGACACTGCTTGTCAGCCAATGTATAATTCACACATGATTTATATCTCTGAGATGACAACTTTTATTTTGAAGTGATGTTCAATTTTCACGTCCCCGAGCAGCATATTGCTGCATTTATTGTGACAAAAGGTATCTGTGCCTCCGGCACTGTAGGAAATTGTCCGTACATTCAACAGGTTCAAGGCCAATCTTTGAACTTTTAACAAAAAACGTCAGAGCAATGCACAGAGCAAGCATTAAGAAAAGACACTTCAAGAATATCTTCTTCTTTTTTTTGCACCTGACAGATCCAAATGAAAACTTGTGACATTCCATGATGTCCTATTACATCTCAATAATGTAATTGGAAGACAACAGGGAGCTGAACACGATAAATGAACTGGGACACACGGACAGACACTGTTGTCTCTTTATCAGTGAGGTCGCTCTCCTTCCTTTGTTTAAATTACGAGGGGGAACTTAAGGTGTGCTGTGAAGGAGACGAGTCCCTCTGCACTCATAATGACAGCGTCCTTTTTATCTTGTTTGCCTGTTCTGCATTTTGATGAATGTAAAACATAAACTCTAATTCTTCTATTCAACTCATAACTCATATAATGGTTTCTTCTTCTGCAGGTGAGTTTGGGGAGGTGTACCGAGGTCGCCTGAAGCCTGTTGGGAAAAAAGAAATTCTCGTGGCCATCAAGACCCTGAAGGTTGGTTACTCTGAGAGGCAGAGGAGGGACTTCCTGTCCGAGGCGTCAATCATGGGCCAGTTTGACCAACCGAACATCATCCGACTGGAGGGCGTCGTCACCAAGAGCAGGCCCACCATGATCATCACAGAGTTCATGGAGAACGGAGCACTTGACTCGTTTCTCAGGGTAAATGACTTCAATGTTTTAACACTATACTATTTATTACAATTTACCGTAACGTTAAGTGTTGCCAGATTCAGCGTAAGTGAAGAAATATCCACTCTACTGCTACAAGGACACCAAACACAGTTTAGATTCTCAACCCGATGTCTCCATCCACGGCTGAGATTAGTTTGTGATTTTATGAAGCAGCACTTTGACTGTTTACAGTGTGAAGCCTTTTAAGCAGTTTGACATTGTATCAGTAGGTGGGACCACTTAATCGCAATCTGAAGCTGTTGAGTCAAATGATATTAGAATGTTGTTATATTCATGACAAACTTGACATATAGAATATAATATTTGCAAAATAGTATAGATAAGATTATCCGCGGTCGCGACCCGACTCCGGATAAAAGGAAAGAGATGAAATGAGAGATATTATTATACAACGTAGGTGTTGGTTTCTTTGCCTGCAGTGTCTATTTACGCACTTTTCTTCAGTCCAAAATCCGCCAAAATTGTCCATATGCAAAGATGTCCATACGGCTATATAGGGGGAGAAAGGAGAGTTTTTCAAGAATGGGACTCAAAGACAGAAGCAACTTCCTGCTCTTCTTCCCCTCCTCACCCAGCGAGGATGTCTGTCAGTCGGTCTGCTCCTCTCTTTGATCGTGCCCTTTATTTTTCGAGACGTAAAGACCGAGAGAGAAAATCTTTGATGTTTGGTTCTCACAGCGTGACCCCTTTTGACTCACGCACACACACACACACACACACACACACACACAGTGATCGATCTCAGTGGTATTGCTGTCCTAGCGTGACCATCTTGCAGACACATGACCCAGAGGATCAATGACCGTGTGTGTGTTTGTGTGTGTGTGTGTGGTTTTGGCTGCAGAGGATTAGGCTAGAAGAGCATCCAAGGGAAGGTTTGATGCACAAAGTGAATTAAAAGGTGCACACACTTTCAACTGCAAAAATGCCAGCAGAGACTTTATAAGAGACTTTCTGGCCCCCAGCTCCTCAAAAGGGTGCTGTTGATTTACAGTATTCAGTTCTAGAAATGTTATTTTTGCTGGTGTAAATTGAGAAAATATTTGCAAAAAGGATTTGTTAGATGTTTAATTATTCTCTAAATGTCTTGAACATCTGATTTAAATTATTCAAATCATAGAATTAAATATTTTTACATCATATCAAATACTCTACATCTTTAGGACAATGAGAGTCCATCTATAAATGTTATTAAAGTGTTTAATAATTCCAGCCTAAAAAACATATTATGGCTGACTGAAATAAAACGGCATTATTCAAGAGCAACTGCATACTTATTCCTCTATGTGATTTTAAGCTATAAACTAACGTATATGACCGGACCCTGATGAAAGACCTGCTCAATCTTAATTTTGAGACATTTCTCATACAATTAGTAAAAATCAGCGTTTCATGGTTGGCCGTCCCCCGACTCTTAATAATCTTGCAAGGAGATTTCTAATATTAAAACTGCTATTTGGGACTAATGATGCCTTGGTGGCAGTTCGTGGCAGTCGAAGCAGCTTCCCAGCAGCAGGCAGTGAGGTGGAAGGTGATTTGCGGTCTGATAAACAGTTGAAAAGAGTCCGGTGTCACAGGAAAGAAGAACATCTCCCTCCAGTTTTTAAATTTAAATTTAAATGTAAATTTTAGAGACAGGAGGTTTCAGACACTGTGCACTTTTCAGCATCCTGAGGGCCTACTGATGATAAATGCTGGTAAATTAAAGTTGGTCTCGTAGCGTAAATTAAAGTTAAAACTTTAAAACTCCCATTTCAACATCACCATCAATCCACACACTTGATTTCTATGTAACATGTAACTGTCAATCGGTTTGGAAAAAAAGCCTACTTTTTTTCTCCCAAAACTGTTACCGTAGTTATAACTCCTGTGGTGATATTGGATGTGAATATATTTGGGGGAAAAACAAATATTTATTTTAATAAATAATACATTGGTTAATGGTTTTCCAGCAAAATGATGGGCAGTTTCCAGTGATCCAGCTTGTTGGTATGCTGAGGGGCATTGCCTCTGGGATGAGGTACACACACACACACACACACACACACACACACACGCACTTAGAAATTGTTGAAGCCCATTTGTGAACGTCGACTTGAGAAAATATGTCTTAATATTTATCAGGTTTTAGTCGCTATGATTGAGGATACCTTGGTCCTGGTTGGTGGCAGGAGATTATCTTCTTGTTGGTAGAACGCCATAGCTTCAAGTTTTCCTGATGTTTGCTTTACTTTGTGATTGCGAGGGTCACGTACATCATGCTGTGAGCTTTCTTTGTTTTATTCCTGTATTTTTTAGACAAGATGATCTATCAGGGACCGACTAAAGTCCTCTGGTGTATTGAAACATTGGATTCAATGCAGATATGATCCCTTTTTTTAAAATAGCTACAGCGCTACCAGGTTAGTTATGAGGCAGTGACCCCATGGAAGAGGGTTCTGTGTAAAGACTATTAAATGTTCTATTTTTATGCAATATGCCAGAACCCAATGAAGTCTAGTAATGAGATAAACACAGTACTATCATTGACTGGGGTGCAGTACACTGTACATTACATTGAATTGGCCAAAGTGTTTTCATGTTGGCGTTCACAGATAAAGACTTTCAAAGTAGCTGCGGTATAATTTAGGGTTTTTAAATAGACTTGATATAAATATTTCAAGTATTGATATAGAATATGGTCTGGTATATTGGCAGAAACCACTTATTTCCAACACACACACACACACACACACACATAAACATAAGTCCATTTATTTATTAAAGAGTACCACAAATTACTGGCTTAACACATATAAACACTGCTCACACATATGCACACAAAAGGCACAATCTTACACGCTCAATAGATCCTATCCGTGTTTTATTGCGAGTATCTCGCTGTGGTACCACCCAAACGCGTACATGTACACAGACATTAAATCCTATGCCTGGCTTGAAGTGATGAGTCTCATTTGCTTATTTTTGTAGACCGGGCAGCGTGTGATGGATGACAACATTGGATATCTGTCCAAACAATAAATCCCTTTTAATGTTACAGGTACCTTGCGGAAATGAGTTATGTTCACCGGGACCTGGCCGCTCGGAACATCCTGGTCAACAGTAACCTGGTGTGTAAGGTGTCTGACTTTGGATTGTCCCGATACCTGGAGGAAGACACCTCTGACCCCACCTACACCAGCTCCCTGGTGAGGACTCCCTCACACACAGGGAACAGGCTATAAATGGACAACTCCCTTCTTGTTCATATGTTAATTTAGTTTAACTATGTGAGAGGCTGGACCGTTACATCACTAAAACAAGCCCGTAGTAGTTCCTGCTCATTAGAACAATGTAATTGTCTCGCGGGAGGCATTAACACATCGGTACGGCGTGATGCATGTGCACATCCAGAGTGGTAGTTAACATTATTTCTCATCTTCCATCTTACCGTCTCCTCTGCTCTTTATCTCCAGGGAGGTAAAATCCCCGTGAGGTGGACGGCTCCGGAGGCAATCGCCTACAGGAAGTTTACCTCGGCGTCAGATGTCTGGAGTTACGGGATCGTGACCTGGGAGGTGATGTCATTCGGCGAGAGGCCTTACTGGGACATGAGCAACCAAGATGTGAGTCACTGCGGGAGAGAGAATTGAGTCAGAAAGTGAACAGAGCCATGTTCTTAAAGGCTGGTGACGTGCAAGGTTTTTGTTTGATCTTAAAAATGTGTAAGAATTATTTAACTCTAATTGATATAATAGTATATAAATAGAGTATCTTTGTCCAGCAGAACCATCTAAATTTTTTTCATCTATCTCACCCAAAATTGTATAGTTCCTCACTATACCAGACTTTGCCTTGTTTTCTTTGTTCTCCTTGGTTTTCTATAACTGTATATGTTTGTTTACGTTTACCCCTTTGTTGCCGCTGTAGAGTGTGTGGTGGGTTCGGGTCGGGGGGGCGTACGTGTTTGTTTCTTTTGCCGTCTCTCACAGCGGGGTGTCTGATGTTCCTGGAAAACACGGGAAATGAGGGCATCAATTTGAGTGTCACAGAAATGTTGGTTTCCTGGAACATGAGACCCTAAGGATTTGTTTTTTCCAGCGGATCTTTTCTCCAGTGAATATCTCATTTTGTGACAACATTCCAATTACCTTCACAGTACAATCAATTTACTGCAGCATTTGGATACCTTTTTTTTTTTTTTTTCTGTTTGTTGGCATCAAGGACGTTATTAAGTGGCTTGAGGTTTCATTTATCCAGGTGCTGTTTGGGCTTGCAATGATTGGCATTTCATTTATCTCAAAAAAACACTCTCGTCCACGCTTCAGGCTGAGCTGTAGTTTTACTGCTTAAAGCTAAAAGGGATACCCGTACAGTCCATTAAAAAGGAGGTTCCGTTAGATCACACTGCTGACATTTTTTATTCTTAGCATTCTATTCCGAGAAGAAATGTGATACTGAGACTTTAGTTAGTTTTGGCACTGAACCCCACTTCAAAGCACCGAGGCTCTAAATCTCAATTCTTGCTTTCTGAAACTACACAGACAAGGCGGAGGATTTTACAAGCCTCTTCAAGTTTCTCTTGAATTCAAACTTCAAAATATATTTGGTGTTTGGAGAAATTCTACGAAGACATTGCTGAACAGCTCACTTGGAGAATAGTCAGAGGAGCCATTTTACCTTTCCAAGTAGTAACATCTTTAGACAGGGAGAAGCTCTGCAGCCATGTTTCCCCGACCTCATTAACCTGGACTTTTAGCCCTCAGATTGATGAGGAAAATTATTTTTAACTAAGACATAATAATAATAATAAATCCCCCCCCCCCATTTCTTGATATCCGACAACTATTTCCCCGCATTAGCATCTACACCACCTCCCCCCTGCCGTCTCTCGACACCTCCTCCCTCGCAGCCTCACCTTTCATTCACCTATGGTTCCTCCTCCGGAATAGAAGCGGTCCATGCAGCAGTAATGACAGAGCGTCACTCTAATGACAGGGACAGCTTTTTAATGGCACACACAGGGTATAATGATGGGGAACGTGTGTGTTACCACTATAGCTAACGAGGGTCTGCTGGGGTATTTTAACTATGCATGAACCTCACATCCTGAGCCCACACACACTACACATTCAGCTGAACCCCACACATGCAGGCAGACATGAATCACGGCCCACACACACACACACATACAGGATTTCAAAGAATGGTGAAGTTGTCAGCCGAAGCCACCACAGGTGCTGTGTTCGACATGAATTAATCATGAAAGAAACCTGTGATGTTTTACTACACTCGCTGCTATTTTGATTGACAGCGGTGCTTAGAGAGAATTTATGCGGCACAAAGCCTGAGAAGTGTGTCGGGGTCAAGTAGAGTTCAGTCAGCTAGCAGACAAATCCCCTGCGCCGCGCCGCATTCTGTCAGCGTGCTGCTAGGTCGGCTTACACTGACACGGCCCGGTAACTCTAAATTTATGGGAAGTGTTATTTCAAGGAATTTTATGGCACATCTGCTTTGTTAAAGGCAGAATCCGTCTTTAAAAATGTATCAAAGGCACCAAAGCTAAAGGCACAGTGCAACAGCTTAGAAGACAAATAGAGAGCACTGCTTCAGTTTGGCTAAATGAAGAGTAATGGGCATGTTTGCAGGTGATGGAGAAACACACAGGGCACCAGCCGGGCAATGGGAGGTTATAAACCGGCAGACGGAACACTTGAATGCGTTGACCTGAAACTAATTTGCTTGAACTGTGCACTATTCATGATGCAGTTTCTCCCGATGCTTTGAAATTTTTCTTGGGCCTCTGAAGAATAAAGTGTGGAGGTTCAGGAGAAGAAAAAATGACACATTTTATCTGTAGTCTTTACAAAGACAGAAATATGTTATAAGCAAGGCCACTCAGGTAAATAAAACATTTGGTTTAATACATTACAAATAGCATAATTCGAATTGGGATGACATTTAAAAAGATATCCAAATGATGCCTTAAGATAATGATAACAAATATTCCGCTTTCCTTGATTTTGTTGGAGCTAGTTACTCTTTCAGTTAAAGGAGATTTTAAATGCTATCATGTTTTGGATAATTACATTTCACACTCAGAGGTATGCTGGCGCATTTAGCACTACTTCTCTGCAATACAACATTTTCTTTCTTCAGAGAAGCCTTGACAAAACTCAATATCTGTGTTTTCTCATAAGGAAATCAGAAGCTCCTCAGTGTGAAAATACCTCCCTCAACATCAGAGACTGCAGCAGGCATCACTGCTGCTTAGCGATGAATATCTCTGATACTGTGCAGCTGCACGCTGTGTCGGAAAGAAGCTCTCGGATGGAAATTGAATCGTTGTTACTTATCCATCTTTTTTGTAGTTTAATTAAAGCTGGAATTCTCTGTAAAAACACACCTTCTAAAATCACAAAGATGCTGGAAGAAAGTAATCTGAACTCTTTTTGGCTAATATGAAGTTACAAATGAAAATCGGAGAGACAAATGTAATGTCCCCGAAACAACAAGCGAGAGAGCAAGTCTCAACTTATTCAGCATCCCAGATCAGCACCATGCTGAGTGCAGTTCACTGACGACTGATCAATACATTTGTTTTGTATTTTCAATCTCACATTTCCAGTTCTCATTATTTTTCCAATTAATCTCAAAAGTATGTCAATCCTTATCTTATTTTTCTCCAAATCTTTTTGCAATAACCTTTCTTGTAACCACGAACAGTTTCCTATTACTAGCCTGGATTTGTAGTCCTGTGTTTGACGACCCCGCTGCCCTCTCTCGCTGTGTCCCAGGTGATAAATGCCATCGAGCAGGACTTCAGGCTCCCAGCTCCCATGGACTGTCCGGTCGTGCTGCACCAGCTCATGCTGGACTGCTGGCAGAAGGACAGGAACGCACGGCCCAAATTCCCCGATATTGTCAGCATGTTGGACAAAATGATACGCAACCCTGCGTCGCTCAAGGCCGGGACCAACAACGTCGCCCCAGGGTGAGGGGAGGCACGCGTTTACATATAGAAAACACACTGAGTGCCTTTTTTAAACACCCTCCCTGTCTGTCCTCGTTTCTGCTGTCTGCAGTCCTCCCCATCATGCCTTGTTAGACCGCGCGGGTCCCGACCTGAGCAGCGTGAGCTCCGTGGAAGACTGGCTGGCTGCGTTGAAGATGACCCAGTATCGGGACTCCTTCCTGGGCTCAGGCTTCACTTCTTTGCCGCTGGTCACACAAATGACAGCTGAGTAAGTCGTCCGTTTGACTGGCTCTTTTTGTGCGTCTGCCTTCAGACTGCTCAGCTGCCAAGTCGGTGTACCGACAGTCAAACGACTGAGAGGACGGCCGGCCGGCTTGCTGGCGGTTCATGTGTCTCTGAACAATCAAACCTTCCTGCAGCCTTTGATATGATAATTTGATTTGTTTGAAAGGATTTGAAATTGCTTTAAAATGATAAGAATTGTTGTAGGTGATCCTGTTGTTTCTTTAAAGGTTTTTTCCTGTTTTAAATCAGCTTTTCACCATCTGCCATTTTATCTTAATACATTTAGCATAGAAGTATATATGCACATTAGCATTAGCTCCTGCTATTGTCCTTGGACGACACACCAACCTCAGTCCTGGAGCTGGTGCGCTGGTGGACCGTGTGCACTTCAGTTTGGGTCAAGCATATAGGGAGATTTTACCCATGAGGATTAATTAAGTATATTTTACCATAATGCCAGTGTTGAGACCGCAGAAAGAGCCACAGAGCAATTGGCTCTGTGCCACTGAACTGCGTTTAAAAGGTTTTTAATGGATGAGGCACAGCTATGCAGGGTTTAGATTCTTACTGCAGTATATAGTCTGACAGGAATGTTTTTTTCATAGTATTTAAAAGCAAATTCCCTCAGACGATATATTTGATCAGTAAATTATATTTGACCGAATATTCATTCTCTAATATTTAAATAAGAAATAATATAACATTTCCACACTCCTTTTAATCTATTAAACCTTTGAGAGGCACTTATGTGAAATATTTTATAATATTGTAGTTTTCTCTGCAGATACTGATAGTTGAAGATAGGTTACTATTAGTCATCATTTATCAAAGCCAACATGATCATTACCCACCATGTTCTTGCTCTGCGAAGTTAAACAACAGGTACTTTTTTTTATTCCAAAATGAGCACTATGGATTAGTGTACTTGAGATTTACTAGTGTCACATCCCACCCTTGCAGGTAACCACCATTGTGAGGATGAAGGAATCTTATATCTTATATTTCTGTGTTATTGCAGAGATCTTCAGAGGATTGGAGTATCTCTAGCTGGACACCAGAAGAAAATCCTGACCAGCGCTCAGTCGATGAGGCACAACGTCGACGACCAGTCTCCTACTGAGTCTGTGTAGCGGGGAAATATGTGACAAGTGGACAGTCTGAACGAGCAGGCCGCCCGTTTCTGTTTTGTCCCCATACACCTCAACGATGTGCCGCTGGTGGAGATCTGAACCGCCGTTGTTTTTAACAGTCGCTACGGCCATTTGTGCGTCTGTGCGGCCTCAGCACTCACCCGGTCGCGGACACACTTCTTTCACAACATTTAGCTAATTGATTTGAACTAAATGGAAGGAAGGCATTTCTGTCTGAAATGATTTGTGGCTGTAAAACAACACAAACAAACTAGCGACTGGTCTTACAAACCCTCCCTAAAATAATCTCTGTAAAATACTTCCCATCGTTGAATTCCACGGACCAGTTTTCGCCATCCTGACTGTTTGATTTGATGGGCTGGTTTTTATTTAAGGATAAATCTCACCAACCACATGCTACTGTGAAGAGGGAACTGACTCAACGGACTCTCATGTGGAAGACAAAAGCTGATATAAAAGTGTTTCTTGAGGCCCGTGACGAGCTTCGCTGTTTTTTCTGACGTTTTCTGTTGAGACTGAATCAACATCTGGATCCAGATGAGAGACAAGATAAAAACGGGGCTTTGTGAATCCATCTTCATATTGAAGAGTCTGTACATATTATGATATGGGATGTTTGTTTCCTATTTGCTTTCTCTTTTGCCAACAACATTGAACAATTAATTGCCACTGGAGTATTTTGTGATTTCTCTATGATTATCTTCCCCTGACTCATCACTGGAGCCTTTGAGTGCGAGGCGCTGCAGACAAAATATTTAAAAAAAAAATGAAAAGCTAAACTCCACTAATCCACACAGAAAGCTAGAAAAGCTTGGTTAACTGGAAATACTTAATTCAGGAGTTACTCATAGTGGAGTTCAACAATCAAAAGGCAATTAGAGATTAGGAAGCAGAAACAAAATCAGGTAAAGATGTATCAACGTGCTTGTGATTTTGCTGCAAATCCTCCAGCGGACGGCGAGTCCGGCATTAATACAATGCATGAACAAACCAGAAATCCAATGTTCTAATACCGTGTCCATGCACGGAACTAATTTCTGTCTAAACTCCACGGCTGCCCGTCCAGATGGTAATCACTCCACAGCAGGCAGGCACGGGTCTTTGTATCAATTCCTTGCTGTATTCATTGGCTGCACAATATGTCAGCGGTCTCACAGTCTGTTTTGACGGACGCGTTTCCCTGTGATTGACACCGGTGATTTATGCTGTCGTGCCAGTTAGCGGATGAAATTAAATAACGTGACCTATCCGCGTTAACATCCGCTGGGCGGCAACCTTTTCAACGAGGGGCCTTACGCAGCACCCGGTTACAAGCAACAAATGTCAGGGAGATGATCTAACAAGCATAGATAGTGAAATAAAAAATGTCCGCGGGATATTGCTGGCGTATTTATCACATTTCGTGCAGAAACAAGATGTTTCACTCGCTGCTCTTCAAAAGGCCAGATCCCATTCTGCGGCACACTGGCAGGAAAAGCACCGAGAGAATCTCTTTTGATCTCAGCGGGCAGCAGGTTACCAGTCGTGAAACAGCAGCAGGCTCGCTCTGCCTTTAGCTCAAACCTCTGGCCATGCGCGTGCCCCCGCCAGCCCCAGCATCACCAGTCTGCTGCCCCGCATTGTGTTTTGTGATTTGTTTTTGTTTTTTAGTGTCCCCTCAGAGCGGTTCTCTCAATGACGTGAGGTGACGGTGTTTGGATGTTTACTTTAAACGCGTTTGGCTGCTGACGTGTCCTACAGGACTATGTGTTTGTGTTCGTCTCGCACCACTGCTGTCCACTGCTAGGAAGGCCCAAACTCTTGATTGTGAACATTTTTTATTTTTTTTTAAAAGCATTGACAAAAAAAAAACACCAAACCATTTCATTTTTCACCGCGACTGGAATTGCGTTTGTGGCCGACTTTTTACCCGAGAGTATTGCGCTCAACCTGGTGTCAGGGCTTTAGAGGCATGATTCTTTGTAAATAGATGTCAGTGGAAAAACATGTTTCGGCGCTGCTTTGGTGGTTCAGCAAAGAGTGACACAATGAGTGCGCCTAAAAACTCACATTAAACATCTAATAAATATGTCAGGTTAAAAAAAAAAAAAGCTATCGATCCAGAGAGGCTTCTTAATATATTCCCTAAAATGGAGCTACGTATGATGCGTAGCTGTGAGCCACGAGACATGAGCTCTCAGTGCCGTTTCACATCTTCCTGTGTATTTGTGACCAGAATGAAGGACATCTTGTATTTATACTCTGACGTGTTGGTTGAGCAGTTTTATTGTTCAATCATGCGCTGTGTGAGATATGAATACGATATGAAAGGCTCCAAGGGCTCATGGAGAATCTCGTATTAAAAGTAAAATCCACCTTCCTCAAGCCCCGGAGAGAGAGGAGCATTTTATTCAATCATGAGTTTCTATTTGTGTGTTTGAAGAAGACTCTTGTACAAAGAAGATTAACGCTGGGGCAATGGATATTAGCTTGGGTCATCACAGTCTCTGACTGTATCAGTGCTGAATCTGCCTGTATTCTCTATTTCAAGGCTACATTTGATTATTCTATCCTTCTTTATTGAAAGTTTGATTTCTTCTACAACATTACACTTTTAAAGGTCTTTGCATTTTCTTTACTTTGTTAAAGGGGTCTTGCGTAAAACCTCAAAATCTATTCTTTGTAAACTGTTTTACACTGCAGACGTTTTAAAGACATTTGAAAGCTGCATCTGATCAATGTCACTCACCAAAACGTATTATTTGAATCCTTGATTTCTAACAAGCATGTTGAATGTAATCTTTCTTTACAAAAAGACAGATTTGTTTTGTTTACTTGACCGACAGTGTTTTTCTTCGTCTCTTTCTTCTCTACCTTTCGCTGGTGCAGTGATGTGAATCACATCACCCATGTGCATGTACGCTTAACTTTGGTTTTACTCAGCTACTTAGAGACCAGACTCACGAAGTAGTAAAGAACTGCCAACAGCTTAGAACAAGAACAACAAATGAGTGCTGAATGAGTGAGACAACCATAATCTCTAGTTGGTTCAAACAATCTGATTCCAATTTGTCTTAAATGGTTCTTGGACCCATTTCCATTAGGCTGGTTGGACACTGCAGTCTAACGGTCTTACCTGGAAACTAGATGGCACCGAAATCGCTCCTCCCACTTCACGTCTCCATGCGATTTGCTTTGAGACACGGCTACTGCATTGTTTTAAGGTGGGCTTCTCCTTTTAAGGAAAGGCCCACCTATGAATATCATTTGTAATTAGAACATCCTTTTGTTGCATGATACTTTAAATAGTGTTGCGTAGAAGCGTGCTGCGCTGAAAAGGGTTGGCGTGTATGTCTGTGACCACAGTCTGTTTCCTTTACAAAAAAAAACATGCTGGTCTGCTGGGATTACTGTCAATGGGGACGACTATGATGAATTTCTCATTGTTCAACGGGGGTACAAATGGCAGCGGCAGACAAAAGCTCCCGCTCGGGTCTGACACCAAAACCTGACATTTACTGCAGATGTTTTAGATAGAGAACTCCATTCAGACTGCACTGTGACTGAAGAAAATATACCATCATGATGTTGCTTTGTTTGGCCACTCAACCACTATAACGGGACAACTATATACACCAATATTCAGCAAAATAGGCCCAGAAATGACTCCTGTATGTGCTTTAGGGGACGATTTATCTTTTAATTACAGTTTTTTTTTTCTTCCGAAGGCTGAAAGGACTCAGCTGCTCCTCTTCTCTCCAGTTGCTCTGGTGTAATAGATACTGTAGGTGAGGTTGGAGATGAGAGGAAATAAAGTGAAAGGGAATAGGTAATAGAAGGAGCCAGAGAAGAAGGAAAGTGTAAAAGAAGAAGAGGGAAAAAAAGGAGGGGGTGGGCGGGCGAGAGGCAAAGCTTGACACTGGTGTTTGAATAAAAATGAGCCTCGGTGAGGAGAGATTACTCCTCTTTTTGTCTCACTCTCTCCCCCTGCTCTCCCCGGCCGTCCTCTCTCTTCTGCTAATGCCCACGACCTCCATGTGCAACTCAATCTGCTTCCAGTCTGCACCTCCACCGTTTTAAAGTTCAGTTCTCGGTTTATTCGAGATGAACTGTTTAGAAACATGTTATATTTGAGCTTTTAAGGAATTTTGCACTTTTACACGCACAATAAAAACAGCAACCTGCAGAGTGTTGTTGTTTTTCAGGAGCAATTATCAATAAACTATGAAAGAGAATTTTTGATCTGCACATTTCCACCACAAAAGTAAATGTCTAATCTACGCAGAAATTAATGATTTGTGGTCTCATTTTAGCCTTTGGTCGATGTGTTTAGTCATGTTTAAAAAAATAATAACTTGAACTAAAACCGCCTGGCTGTTAACTCTCTATTAATGCATTTTGTATTTATTATTTATTTCAAATGTATCTTATTTTCTATTGCTTGCCTTTTTTTCAGTATTTTTTATAATGTATATCTGATTCTCTTGTTAAAAAAAAAAGCAGCTCAGTAATCGTCTGTTGTCTGCCTTTCTCTGTTTACCTACAATACTGTTAAAGGTGTTACTGCCCATATAGTCGGAACATCCCACTGTAATGTATTACAATGCTGTAAGATAATGTGAGTGTGTGTGTGTGTGTATGCGTGAGTGTGTGTGTGTAAGATAACCTAAGTGAGCTGTTTAGTGTGCAGTTACATGTTTGTACATTTTGTGTGTGTGTGTGTGTGTGTGTGAATTTGTAGCTGTTAACTTTCTGAGTCTTACATTTACAAGGCCCTGTTTGTCAATAAAGAGGACAAATCAATCACGCTGATCGGCTTAATCAAGTGTTTATGCTAAACGGCGCTTTGTTAGCTTCATATTTATCGTTCAGACTCACACTCTATAAAATAAAAGGACTCAAACTATGTCTTTAAGATCTTATTAAACATTCTTTAATAACCTTGATTTGACAAGTTGACTATGTTACCTTTCATAACTTTGAAGTGCTTATAAACACGATTCATTGCTTGTGTCCGTTAGCTGTAAAACAAGAATTCAGTCAGGATTCAATGTAAATTTTGTCTTTTTACATCAAATTCCCAGCTTATGTCATCGCTGGTAAAATTATGGTATCAACCAATCATATCGTCACATCCATCCATCCAAGTGTGTTTGCCGTCTCAGTGCTCATTCCAGCTTTGCATCGCGCAACATTCTAATCTCGCCAACTTTTTAATAAATAGGATTTTATTTGAATGCCTCTTCTGACTATGCAGCACTAAAATATTCTGTTTCAATTGTAATACGTTACGGCGCAGAAGCGAAGTTAAAAGTTCAAATACAATGTATTTTCATTTGCTTACCAATTATGAATGTTTTCTTTAGCAGTATTTCCTTTGGGAACCCTAAATAAGTATTGAGGAGTTTTTGGAGTTAAGTTTGTTCTTCGGTCGTCTGCCAGCGTGCTGAACACATACACATTTAACTGGATATGTCCAATTTTTTTATAATATCAATAAGGCTTATGATAAATGGCCAATTTAATATTCTTTGTATGACGTTCTGGAGGCAAAATCCACTCTATATCTCACAAACTAAATCCAATCCCTTAGTAGATTATAGAAGACAACTGCATTCTGAAAATCAATAAAGACGGTAATAAAACTCTATAATGAGTTCCACCAGTATGCCGGCGGACTAAATGAATCATTGATGGGAGTGAGAGTCAGTTTCATTAAATGTGTGAGTCTCGTGTTTCTGACTGGGATTTATAAACAAAGCGGTAAAGTTTACAACCTGTTAGGTCGACTTTGAATGATCCTCTCTGGTTGCTCAGAGCGTCACAGGAATCGAACACATCTGAGCCGACAAAAGATTTACAAAAGCTCGAAAACCCACAAGGCGGGATAAATGGAATCACATTTAGAGTTAGTTGTTAGAAAAAGACCCATTACCTGACTGTGGAGTCTGCTGCAGTGTATTATTCAGAGCAGTGAGAGCCATTAATTCACACAAAACAGATTAACAGCACAGGAACTATTGCATATTGCTAATGAGGGCCATGAATACACGTTAGTCGTGTAATTGACATAAAGCCGTTAAGTGCAGCTAAGTGACAGCAAATTCAATTTGATGACAAAAAAAGAAATGTGATTTCAAAGTATTAAATACAATCTCCATTTATTTCACTAAAGCATCGACCTGAAAATGCAAGTCGAACGCCCCTACAGCTAATCGGCTACAGCGTATGAACCTGCCCTCTAAAATAACCACCTCATAAGGGCCCATTTACCTGTGATCAAAGGATAAGGGATCAAAAACCAACAATTAACGGCTCTATGTATTTTAGAAAATATATTTAAATGCAAGAATGGGACAGAATATTGCACTTTTTGCACTTGGCAACTCTTTCCTTTCTTACCGTGCACATGGATCCCAAATACACAAACCGCTGGCTGTGAGAACTCATCACGGCACGCTGTCCTTTTTTGTATTAATCCACAGCTAAAAATAGACCTAACGAAAAAAAGTGAATTATTTTGACATTTGTGGTTAAAGGAACCCAATGTCTATTTTAGGAATTGGACGTAATCCGCTTTTCAAATCCGGCATTAATGTAATTCAAAATTAACTCCAGAGTTTCATTCTTTGTATATCTGCTGCCTGTGTGTCATCGCTTTTTAGTTCAGAAAAATGGGCCAGAGCTCATATCTTATGGATGACGCTGTGCGTGTCGCCCCAACACTGCTTAAAGGGTTGATGGCTTTCAGTGATAACAGACCGAAGCCTGGTCAGGCGTGTCACAGGGGGGGGGGGGGGGCACAATACCGGCGTGACTGCATCGCCAGAGGAAAGAGAGAGTGACAGAAAGAGGGGGAGGGAGGCAAAAAGAGAGGGGATTCTTCATGAAATGTGTGTGTGTGTCTCATGGAGTGAGTC